TGAACAAATTTTGACTTTCCTTTGGCACCTTCCAAAAAATCTTTTGATTGATCAAACAAAAATGGGATCGTAAAAAAGATACCAGAGGGGACCCTTGGGAAAAACTGGGCAAACCATAGTTGAGAGGAAAACAAATTAAGTCCAAAATTACATGGTTTAATTCTGACTAGAGCAAGCATACCTCTCTTGACATCTGCCGAGCGTTGCAATTTGTTTCTTTAGTAATATAGCTTTAGCAAATTTAAAGAATTCGAAACTGATCGTACGAATCGAAAGTCAGTTTATAAGTATAAAAAAAACTGCATACAGTTCAAACTAAGAAAAAACAAATGTTTGAAAAATCGTTTTGGCTCATAAAGTCGGAAAATTACGTTATTAAATAGTTTTGAGCTATTTTCTTTTATTTTACAGTATTTTTCTGTTATGATTAGTTTCTGAACATTGTAGCATGTTTTATATGTACTTTCAAACATTTAGATTGGTTTATTTGGCGGCATTTGAAGCAGAGCTGGTAAGAATGTTCAGCTGAACATCAGCACCTGGCTTATATAAAAATACGAATATAATGAATTGAACCGACTCGCAGCGAAGCAAATCTTTTTGGACTCTAGTTCATAAGCAGTCTTAACTTTTTCGGACTTTTTTCTAGCGGACTTCATTTTTTCGCATTTTAATTTTACGGACTTTATGCTTTCGGACTTCATTCTCGTTAGGACTTCATTCTTATGCTTCGGACTCCATCCAAACTCTCCTGTGCGCGCTAACCTCTGCATATTGAAGAAGTTTTGAATGTCAAACAACTGAATTGAAGAGGATTTTCTCGGCTAAATAACTCTATAAGCAAATCTAAAAACACAAAAAAAATTTAACCTACTTTAACTTTGGTAACATCGGCAATAATTGCCTGAATAACACAAATCAAGCTGCCAAATGGCCAGTATTTGTCCATCAGACAAACTACCCATTTTTGATTGTCAGCTTAAATCAAGGCTGAATCGTATTAGAGCGAAAAAGGTCAGGTGGGGCTATAGCTCCTCGAGTTTACATATATAAAGATCAAAGTATGGGGTGATTTGAACCCACGCTAAACCAGTCGACCATTTTGTCAAGTTTTGTCCTAAACCGTCTAGCTATTATTTTTTAGATGTGTTCGATTTCGGTCAAAACAAATATCAGGTTGAACTAACAGTTCCAATTGTGTAGCAACATCTCCTGTCTCTAAAGATGGAAGAACGGGATAGTTCGCTCGTCACGGTTTTGTTTGCGGATCGCGCGCATCCGTCTTTGCAGTAGTGCAATCTAACAAGGCGGCGTGCGAATGGATAGTATCCACGTGGACTGTCAGGCTCTATGAACCAAACCAAGTTGCCTGCTTATAACTTAACATCCGATTAGTTGCGCCACTTTGCCAACTTAGTGAGAGAAGGAACATATTCAAGCATCCAACTTGTCCAGATAGTGTTAGCGTATAATTGCGCTCTAGTTATGGCAGAAGTTATTTTTGAAAATTTAGCGACTGAAAACTCGATGCATGTTGATCAAGCAAAAATTGGTTCGGGGCCAACGCTTCTAAATCTAGTGGGTTGGAACTAGCAGCTGTGCTTGGTCTTGCGTTTAGTGACTGCTCAGCAAGGCAAAATTTTTACAACGTATTTCAAACTTACAACATCACGCATGTTATCCAAGTTTTGGTGGAAATTCTTAACGTATAAGTGTCTAATAAATAAGTAAAAACCGCGTGACATGCATAAAGTTTTTTTGGATGCTTGCTATCGAAATTGGTATTAACCAAACGACCGATGAGCCCAATTGCGCGATGAAGTCCAGCTGGGCCAGTGAATGGCGATACTTGGCAATCCGACTATTCATTGTGATAATTTTAGCTCACTAGCAAATGACTTACGCTGGGACCAAAAATTTGTTTCTGCTCAGCAAAGTCCAACTCAAACAGGTCGGTAATTTCTATTGTACTCGAGCGAAAATGTTAGCGGGATGGCAACCATCTCAGCAAAAATGCTACCAACCGTTTAAAATCGACGACGAATTTTGAGGAATTTTTCAAATATCTGTCGAGTTTCTATTGTACTCAAGCGAAAATGTTTGCGGAATGGCAATCAACTCAGCAAAAATGCTACCAACCATTTGTATTTTACAATTGAGTTTTACCCTTTCCATTTTCCCAATAGAAAACTTTTGTTCGGCGAAACATCGACGCCGAATTTTGAGGAAATTTTCAGATATATGTCGATGTGACAAGAAGGTTTTTTAAGACTCATTTTATCGATTTGGACGGCCAATTATTCGTCTTCCGTATACAAGGGCCATTAACTCATTCCGAAGACATCCTTCGTGTATCGGTATCAGCTGGGTTATCACCGCTTAGTATATGATGCCACTGATCAATGGTTGTAGATTCCAGGATCTCACCAGTGTGAATACCCTTCAAATCGGGTAATTTTTTGCAAGAGTTAGGCCACTGAAGACTGTGGTACTATGAATCAATATGAAAATGGCTGTAACTTTGAAGGTAAGACATTTCAAAACTTCTTCTTTCAAACGGGTTGCAAGAAGAGCCCCCTGAAACTCTATCTTTGGAATAAATAGCGCTTTCAAATGTGCTACGCTGGCCTTGCCAAGCACAAAGGCTAACTCATTCTTAAGCGAACTCTTGAGTCGTGAATGAAGGAAAGGGACGACGCAGAAAACATCATGCGAGCATGTGAAGTTCAAATCGGCCAAAAGTCTCAGTGAGATAGCTACGAGGTGTTGTCAGAAAAACCTAACAAAAGAAAATTGCCACTCAAGGAACTGCAGTTTAACCTCATCTGGATGATGATGGTCACATTTTTGATCTTTGATTCGCCTTAAATCTTTTAGTAGAAGGCGAGCTCTCACGGCATAGGGAGCACAGTAGGCTGAATGGTTGTTTTGTATAGTGGATGATCAACCACTCTTCTAACGACTAACGTATCTTAAGATCGAGGACATGCAATGACTGGTCTGGACTCTCACGATTAATCTTAAAAGAGAAACTAAACTCATGGTTGTCCGGATCAGGAGCGGTTCCTACATCGAGCGCGTTGCTGGCAATTTTTGTCGGATGAAAACCACCTAGTTTAAGCAACGAGACTAAATCTCTTCCTTATTTCAACGCGTGATCTTTGTCTTGAAAAGAACCCATGGAGTCATCCATTAAAAACTTCTAGACAGCAGCTGAAGCAGCTGCGGGGTGCTCAGCTTGATGATCAGATGCAGTCTTCTGCAGAGCAAATTTCGCTTAAGTCTGCGAGTCACGAGCGCCGGAAAGGTTATGATGTGTGTATTGTGAACCACCACACTTGATGTGGGGTCCTCCCGCCACAAAAACCGGAGAGAAGGTAGCTCTTCTTCGCGGGCTCAAACCAGTAAAATCATAACATCAATGTTGGCTGAAACCGCTTATTCATGCTGAAAGAATCCTAAAAGTATAAAACTGAGGTTTTGATGGAAATTGAGCAATCCGCGCATCTTACCGGTTTTTTTGGGTTCCACGCCGGATGATGCGGGTTATACCACTCACAATCGGCTCCTGGTTTTCGATCGAGTGACTTGACGGTTATGACATATCTTTTATGTATGTCATCTCTTATTACTTTGGAGCGACGGATCTCTATCTGACCTCTTTTCTGAAGACGTTACTTGAGCTAAGGAGGAAAAATAGTTTTTCGGCAAACTAACCCCGTTATCACTCTACGCATTGTTACAATGTACCTCTCACCATCGAGAAAAATTTCGCTTTTCAAAATTGACAAAGCGTGCATTATTTTTCCTTAGTCTTATCACTTGTCGCCTTTAGTTGACTCCTGGCTTTGAACATTGCCGACAGCAGCGCTAGTCGATACGAGTGATGCATTAGGGACAAAGTGTCTACTTGCTTGAAGGCTCCATTCGACTCAAACTCGTTCCAAGTTTTAATTTGGTCAGCTAGAGATCTGTCCTCGACAACAAGTTTAAAGCGAGATTAGGTCGAGATAAAGGACAGTGGTAACGCAAAACTCACAACTCACAACCCAACCTATCGGAAGATGTAAGGTGAATGGTTAACCAGAGCCCTCCACTAGAAGGTAATCAACGGGTCCTATTACGTGGTAGAAGCCTTGTACTACAAGTATTTCGTTTTCGAACTGTAGTTCAGTAAATTTTATGCCATGCAATCCAATGCGGATCTGATCCTTAACAAAAGATTGGAAAAAAAACGAAAGTACACTATCGTTTGTTTTGGTGGAAACTTGAAAGTTTACTTGATGAGTTTTCATCAAGCTCTTGGACATGAATACATTTATGTCAAGTTAACCGGGAATACTAACCGAATGGAGTCGTTTTACGAGATAAGTGGATACCCATGAGTGCGTGGAAGCACTATCCCAAAGATTAGGGCATTAGTATTTGTTGCATCAGAAGAAACACCAAGTGATACAACTGGCAGGGGCCTTTAGTTGACTCCTGGCTTTGAATATTGCCGACGGTAGCATTAGTCGATACATAAATAGTATTTGCGTTACCTGACGACGGAGAATTTTTATTGTTTTTTGGAGGAAAATTTTTTCAGCTCCATGCAAGAGCACGTTGTAAAGATTTTCACAATCTGGCTCGGGCCATTTTCTAGCCTTGCTGAAATTACGAAAAATATGATAGCCCTGGAAGTACGCAAAACAAGTTGTTGTTCGGCTCTATACTTGGCTCGTTGGGTAGCCTTTTTCTCTTTCATGAGGGCGCAATTCCAAAGGGCGTGTTGATCTTGACATACAGAACATGGAGGAAAATTTGATTTTCTTTACTCATATCAGTACTTTTTGTGTTACTCATGAGAAAAATGGTTATTAAAACTAGACGAGCCTTACAGTTTTTAACTTTTTTGGGAAATTTTCGGCACCGAAATTTTTGTTTTTACAAGTCTGAACAATTGCACTCACGAGTCTCAACATCTACACTCACAAAAAACCCAAATGTGCTCAAAAGTCTGCACAAGTGCGCTCACGCGTCTGTACAGCTGCACTCCCTGAGGATTTTGTCCAAACATATGTCGCCAGTGAGTTATGGAGTAACAGTGTTACCAACGCACAACTTTCTTCTTCGGTAGCGAACTTGCTTAACTTGGGGGCCAACTTCCTTTTTTGTTATATTTTTTTTGGGTCTACTTCCTTCTTTAGGCCAACTTCCTTTCTTCAGCTTCCTTCTGTCGCCAACTTCCATCGTTGGAATGTTTGTTAGTCCGGACAACTCAAATAATGGTGATAAAAAGCTTGCGAGTTTCTATTCAATT